TGCCTAATTTTTCAGAAAGACCTACTGTTGACAATTTTGTTGTAGTATCTATTAATCTCTTATTTCTAACATCAACAATTAAATTAAAATGAGCCAAAAAATCAACACCAATAATAGCTTTTGTAACATCAGCAACAGTAAATCGCCATATAAAATCTCTGCGTAAACCTAGGTTTAAATTAAGTTGTACATAACCATAAGTATAAATAGTAGAACCATTAGCCGCACACAGTACATAATCAGATTTGTCGCGCTGTTGTTTAAGCGCAGATCGGGGGAAAACGCATAGATCGCTTCCTGTGTCCACTAAGAACTGCATTTTCGATCTGCTATCAGTTAAAAATAGGCGACCAGTAGTTGATGTGGGGCAGTCGTCCGTCGCCATTACAGACTGCCCGGTGCGTTTGCCGACTTATAATCGCAAGGCGGTATGCACTGTCTCGCCTGGCTGCCGAACTTGGAGTGATACCAACAGGTAGGAAATTTCCTGTAGGACGACTGTGATCTTCTCGACGGCGTACGGCTGCGCTCACGTGACCTTTGTTTATGACGTGGCCGGGAGCGATCGTCGATTTTAGAATTAATAGTACTGACCTGCGTCTTCAGTTCTGATATTTGTCGAGCCATGGCCTCAATGGTCTGTTCCAACCTGTCATGTGAAGATGATGTGGCTGCAACAACTGGTGAAGCTGGGGCGATGTCGTGTACTCGATCTGCCAAGTCTGCTACTTCGCTTAGGGGCATACTCATCTGGGACACGACGATAGTTTGTAGGTTACTTGGGAGTCGACCTGTCCATAATGATCTAAGAAAATCTTCCGGTATGTTGGGGCCTGCGAGATGCTGTAGATGTCGAAGAAACTGAGATGGCTTGCGATCGCCCATCTCCTCGGCCTGGAGTAGTTGTCTTAATTTTTTTTCTTTCGAAATGGAAAGCCGTTTAATAATTTCGCTTTTTAATTTTTCATACTTCCCGGTCGTTGGAGGCGATGTTATTAAATCTTCGATATCACTTATATATCTCCGGTCCAAGTTTGTAATAAGCAGGTGAAATTTTATATCATCATCTTTTATTTTCGATATGCAAAATTGACTTTCAATTTGACTAAACCATAATAATGGCTTTTCAGGCCAAAATGGCGGCATGCTTACGTTAACACGGCAAATGTCTGAATTATCGTCCATAACAATGGGCACGCGCACTCGCCGCTTCGTCACTCGCGCGCCGTAATCAGATTTTTCTTCACCGTCACTACTCATTTTTAATTAGTTTGATTTAAATGTTCACTTTAGGGGTCACCAGATTGGGGTTAAGTGAGAGTGTTCTTTGAGGATGCAGTCCGTTGCCGGAATTAAACACTCTTTTAATCACACCACACAATTTTAATAGTTCAGAAGGTTAACTAAACAAAACTAAATAAACACAGGAGTAAATCGTAATCCAAACTTTAACACATTTAATAACACGGAAGATGCAGAGATAATTGTAGCATTAGATCAAAGATGGTCGTGACAAGTGATTTTTTAAATGCATTCCGAATCGATGCAAACTTCACGCTAAGCGTTTTCGATGCATCGACTAGAGGGCGTTATAATCATATTAAGTTATCAAAATTTTGTTTATATTTCAAATAATATAATAGAAATAAGAAGTAATATTTTTATGTAATTGTTAATATTAAATTTGTTATTTACTTTTAAATGTAAGAAATAAATAAATGTTTGAATGAATGTGTAAATGTAAGGAATGATAGTATTGATGGATGTAAGTGTGTGGGTGTGTGTTTATGTCAGTGTGTGTGTATCCGCCACAAATTATTTAAGAAAATGAAGTCATAATATTATACAGCTTATAATATGTAAGTCGGAGGAAACTAAAACGACAAAGTAGATCTAATAAAGTGCGGCAAGTGTGTCGACATCCTTAATGAAAGTTGACCAAATCGCCTTGTAAAACTTTACGAGGGATAAAATCAGTTATAAAACTCTATGAAGCCGTAAATTCAGTGATCGGACGCAGCGTTTAAAAGACGGGAGCTATTCCGAAGTCCATAAATCTCGCATCGGCCGGTGCGGGGCCTATTCCGTCCACGATCGTCAACATTAAATCGCTCTGTTTGTAAACACTTTTACGCAGATTCGACAGATTTTTTCCGTTTTTGACTTTTATTGACACGACGATATTGACTTTTATTGGGGCCTCTTGTTATGAAACTGAGCCTGCTGGAATTTCACGGTAGGTTAATGTTGAATTGTTTATTAACAATGAAAATCAGCGTTTATTTAGAATTATGAATAAAAAAAATGTTTTCTACAAATAAAAGTAAAATTTGTATCTCAAATGGAATATTAGTGTTTAATAAAAGAAAATAAGTATTTAAACAGAGAAGTGTTAACACTTTAACTTCTAAAGTATGAAAAACAAAGTGTGACAAAACTGTCAACCCTTGTACTGTCAATTAGTGTCAGCACTCAAACTGCCGAACTGAAGCGAAAGAAACCCTAGAGAATAGAGTGCGGCCACAGAAATAATCTGAGCGGCGACTCCGCCGCAAACACATAAAGGATTGGCAATAAAACTTAAAGACGAGGAGCCACGCAGTCGCTCGTAAAAACAACAAAAGCGTTTTAACCCTTCGCTTTATTGGCGCTTCGGTTAGCCGGTGACAATTGTTTTCTCACGTGTATAAAAAGACGTCATAAAAGTCGCCAGTTAACTCTCGGTTAGTAAACAGCGGAATGATTTAGCCTCTGTGAATGGGATCGCTCTATAAAACATATGGCCCATACAGAAACAAAATGACCTACATACGAGTTTCTGTAACATATTCGTAAAACGACTTGATTAATTCATTAATTTATCTAAAGTGTTAAGTAGTTATTGATGTTCAAAGTTTGATTGCCAATTTGTTCAAAATCGGAATTAAATAATTTAGTTCTGCAGTCAAAATGCTTGCATAACGAAAATTACTTGTGATGTGATATTACACATTGTCCCATTTGACGTCATGTTACTGGAGCGTGCACAATAAGAGAGAAAGCAGTGTAGTCCCCCGCAGTGGACAGCTCGGGGGCATGTAAATCAAAGGAGCATAAAGCAATAAATTAGCCTAAACTATGGCGGCGCAGTTTTTATTGGTCCGCTGTGGGATATTGTTCCGGCGATGCGCTGATTTCCGACCGGAGTGACGTCACTACATGCAAAAAATACTCCATTTATACCTGCATCGATCAGTTGAGAGTAAACTGACATGCATTTTTATTATTATATTATATATAAAAAGATGTGTAAAATATATCTTTAAATCTAGACTTGCGTGATGGAGTTACAAGCCCTTGGTTCTATTATCTATTTTTTAAATCAATAAGTTTTCTTACATAGTTAATCACATGATAAATATTATGATTAAATATTAATTAACATGATAATAAGAGAAAAACAATGGTATGGGAAGTGTTGAGAATGAGTCGCGAGTTTATAATCTCGTAGATGCATTGTAGGCGCCGCGCGGACAGAGTTGAGCGTCCAAATGCTTCTATCTTGAGTTTATCGAGTGTTGGGCCACGAAATCCGCTATTATACAATATATTATATATAAACCGATTATTATGTAATTTATATGCAACCGTTAATTAGATTTACAATTTTAAATTAAAAACATACGTTATCAAATAAACTGCATTTTAAAGTGAGATATAAACAATAATTGTTGCGCTTTACACACTCAATTATGATAGTATTTGGAATAGTGAAATACCAAGTTCTATTAATTAAAAACAAGTTTAATGAATTGTCCAATAACGTATACAAATTATTCTATGCACAAGTTGAATTCTTATGCTGATGATTGATAAATATGCTAATTTTAAATGTCAATCTTACAAACAACGTGAAAGACACAATTTTGAAGACGTTCACATTATGTAACTTGTTTATTTATAATCATTTGCAGAATATTTTGGTAATGTACCGGATCTAGATTTAATATTGAAGTCTTAATTCCCCAGCAGTTTATAACAGAACGAAGAAGAAAAAAAATTATTTAAATTTCTTCTATGTAAATCTCTGTGTTTTTTCGGCAAGATGAGATGATAAGTATGAGTACATATGTTTTTAATTACATTCAAACATGCACCACGTTCTGCCCTCGCTCGTCTCGTGGCCCGCGCTCTGGCCCGCACTTCACACCCATTACAACTGACAAAAACGCGTATAATAGCATAAATAAATATTATTTATCGCTTCACGGTGGCTTAGTTCTATACAAAAAGACCTATGAGTTATTACGCTGTATTACATTTGCGTTTTGTACAGAGCTTTTTTCTACGCTCGTAACTTAATATTTATTGCGAGGTTTAGTTGAATATTCAGAGTTGTCACGTCACGGTGCCGCTTTCAATTGGAACTCGCGCTATGCACTTTTATAACAATATTTCAATTCATTTTAATCCTTATGCTACTATAACATAAAGCAAATACACCGTAAAATGCGTACCGTCCACTGAATAGATAATAGCAGTTAAATTAAATGTACAATTTATTGTTATAAAACACATAAAGCATTAACATACTTTTTAAAGACGTTGAATAAGTTTGCCAGAAATTAGTCATAGCTAATAGAGAGAACAGAATCGCGTGAGAACAACAAGCGGACACTTTTGTCATACAAAATACTTTGGCCAATATTTATACTAACAATATTATAATTGCTTGCGGACCCGTGCGAATGTTTTGCATAGCATTTTACACGGCGAATTATTAAATAATTTGTCTCTACATTTTGTCACTTTTTGTAAAAAATTTTGTTTTCACAAATATTTTAATTATTTCTAAAACACTGACATCGCTTGTTGGCCTAAAACAATGTCGTCACATTGTTGTTTTATCACATACCATATTTGGAAAGAAGAACAAAGAGGGAGGAACTAAACTATGTAATTTTCTATTGCATAAAGTACATATAAAGGTTATCATTAAGTGTAGTAGAAGTGTTTGGTACCGTTTTCGTTGGTGCCGAGCCAGCGGTAGGAGGGCCGCGGCTGTTGCTTGGAGCGCATCTCTGCCGCGCCGCGCACACTAGCGCCGCCCGCCGCACGCGCCGCTGCCTCGCATCTGTAAACAACGCACATCAGATAACATCATTCATTGAACAACTTACGCAAGAACAAAAATATGCAAGTAGGTATTTAAGATGTCTTTCACTATTAAAATTGAATTAGGTTGGGTTTAATAAAAAGTGCATTGGATTTGTCAACCTCCTTTCTCAAGACATAATTATGTTTAATGCAATATAATTATAAAATAAACTCTGACGGTAATCACTTGCTAACGGAGAGGACATAAAATACTTATTACGAAGCCTTTTAAATTATAATTTAAATCGTCAGCCTACGTCTCTCATCGTAAACAAAGTAATTCAGGACAGGTAATCACTAGAAACTACTTCTTGAAAACGATGAGTGTACCGCAAGCGTTCCTAAAGAATCTACATTAAAAATATTCTCGATAAATTAAAAAAAGTCAACCGTCATTAATATGAGACAAGACGCGACGATATGCCGCAGACAATGTTACTACTGCTGTTGATGCAGACGAATATGGATTTTATTTATATTACAATAAAGCATATATTATCACATTCGTCGTGGTGCTAAATTGTTTTAAACAGAAAAATCTTGGAGCTCAAACGATATGTCAGAGAATTTATGAGCGGCGAACGACGAGAGACGCCGGGTGACGTGTTCCGAGTGATTCGAATACGGTCTGTAATAAATTCCATATCAAAGGCACAATGTAGTAATGCGATACATTGACGTGCGATGCGGTGATAGGGGCCCGATTTATGACGAGCGCTGTTCCTCTCTCACGACCACCGCAAATGATTAATTCCTTCCTTCGGAGAGATTAAAACATATGTCAACCGGCAAAGGATATAGCAACAAGAGTTTGTTATATTCACAAATAGATAAACTTTCGGTTTGAAATTACGAATAATTCAAAATGCACTAAGTGGACAATTACCTTTATTTTAAATAAATATCAATATGTCTTCATTTAAAATAATCTTAATAGTAATTCACAATAAGTATCGGATGAGTGGAAGCTGTGCGCGATCCCGCTATCTTGATACCTTGTTTGGACATTTCACTGTCGCAATTATAAAAACCTTTTAGTCCAGTCCAATGAATGACTGAATTCATGTTCATCAATATAAATATATTTTTAATACAATTTACATGATATTAATTAATTACCGATAAATTTCTGATTGAATTCCATTAAAAACGTTTGGAACATCTACGTTGAATAATGGTTTGAAAAAATTAAATTTCTACTTTTAGTGTAATTTTACAGTCACTATGTATGTACATGTATCGGGTAAAGCATTTCTTTCAGTGATCTGCAATAGGTCACAAAGAGTTAGCGACAGGCTCTAGCCTACGCTTAGTTAAACTTTAGCTACCTCATTGTTCACAGCTGTAGAAAAACCTATGAGAATTATTTTATTTTTATGACTACTTTACTTTAGAATACTTATTATTGAACCTAGGAAATTTAAACCTAGTTGTATTACAATCTGACTATAGACGTGTGGGAATTCGTTTGTCAGAGGTCGGTGGTGAGCAGTGTGTATGGGGTAGACAGCGCTGTGACTATGAGCTGCGAGTCCCGTCGAAGGCAGCGTGGCGTGGCGAGGCGGCAGGTGCCCGCCGGCCGTATCGACTGTCAAAAACTTGTAAAATATCGCCGCAGCGCGCCCGCCGCGCCCGTCGCCCGGCCGCGGGCGTCGCGCGTCCCTCACAAAGATATCTCCAAGATTTATTCGGCCGTCTACAATGGAACGTTTTAATTCTTTTCATACGCGACAGATTTATGCACGGACAGATGCGGACGAAGCCAAGATAACGCTCTCTCGCCACCCTTTTGGAGCAAAAAACGCGCCGATGTCGATTTCTGGGACGAAGCTAATAGAAACTTTCAATAGTTCACCTTTCTTTGGAAGTCGCAAATCAGTTCGGTGACGGGCCCGTTAGAATGTTCGTAAATAAATTTCCAGCACACAGTCAGACTGTGTGAAAAGTATATATGTTAAGATATATTTTACATATAAATTTTGTTCATTTTTGGTAACAAATGTTTTGTAATTTAATCTCTTCAGGACAAAAGAATAAACATAGGTTAAGTAAAATATAAACAGATATCAATGGTCTGATTATCAGATGGTAAGTTTGCTGAACAATAAGGCGTATTCATATTGTTCTATTATTTCTAAAGAAAGGACATAAACAGCTTAACATTGATGACGTATTACACTTCCTAAGTAACCGTTTTGTTTCTGGATTTTTGTAAGTTCGTTGTCCCACTGTGTCTTATTGTTTCCACGCTATTGTTATTTTATTTGTGCAATTTTTGTGCAAAATACATGTCATATTGAATAAGTGCTTTTGTACAGTCAGCAACACAAGTACGATGTCATATTTAAAAATTAATTTGTTACATTGTTGTAAATTTTTTTACCATATCTGATCGCAAACATATTATGGAATAATGATGTTTGAAAGAAGAAAAAAGATGCTTTGATTTTAGTTAGTCAAGATTATACACAAATTAATGTATTTTATAATAAAGGTTAAATAAATTTTGTGAATATTGCATTGAAAAACATTTAGTAAACACGAAAAACTTCAGAATTATTCAGAAGGGTGCGCACACTGTAAGGGGCAGCTGTGGCGCCATCTGTACTTAAGAAAGACTCCGACTGACATGTTTATTGGCGCATAAATCCAACTCGTCATACATTTAATTATATGTCTCCGATGGCATTGGGTGTGATTTATGATTGAGAGCCTCTCCCCCGCGCAGACCCCGCACCCACCGCGCCCGCCCGTCACCCGCAAGGACGAGCGAAGTTTTTTGCTAATTAATAACCATTTGCCATCAGCAATCAGTCAATTTACGACTTATGATGTGTTTAGATATGAATCTCAAACCAAATGTTAGAATTCCGATTAAAACATAATAAAGTTATTTCTGTAAACTATTACGTAAAGCAATTAAAAATAAATAAACGTGTAGAATGCATGCCGAATATGCAAATAAAATAAAATAATTTTATAATACACCGGATAGATCTATATGTTCACGCTTCTTTCGTATTAAAACGCTTCAAAACAGCAGCAGTTGCGAAGTGCTGCTAAGCTCTGCAGGCGCTGTTAGTAAAGCATGCATGCGGTGTGAGCATCGCCTAAGAAGCGCCGCGATGTCGGAGTTATGACGAGTGTTGACTGATTTGTGACCGCGTGTCGTGCGGGAGATAAAAATAATTGCATTTACAAATACAACCCTTACAGTATTAATTTAAGAATAATATTTATTTTAAATCGTATTTCACAAATTAACACCAAAAATGACAATAATTTTCAGTCCAAAGTATAACATTTTCATTGTAATTAATCAAAATTTGTTTGGGCTCGTTGTCATCAATTTGCAAAAATTGAATCCATCAGCGACCACGAGAGGGCGCCTCACTCGCGTGACGTCACTGGCCGCCATTTTGAATGTGTATAATGTGACGCGGCGACGGCGAGGCTTTGACAGACGACATTTAATTACCGACCCTCATTACCTGGGTATTGGCGGATATTGATATCCGGACATTTATTGCAAACGGGACGATTACGACACGATTTGAACATTTTTGACTTAAAGTACTTTTAACATGCGCAAAAACTTTTCAATAACGGAAATAGTGTAAAGGTTTTGTTTATAATTATTGACAAGTTTTTATTAAATATACAAAGTACAGAAATATCGAAAGTTAAAACCATGTAGAGTGTAACTTTTTAAAGTGGTTTACCGCTACATATACAAGTTCGGGATAAGGAATAAATCGGACGAACTTATATGTTAGAAAACAAGAAATTGTTTTGAGTCTTCTTCCAGCTCTTGCTCAAGTCGCGGGGTGTAAATTGACCTCGGGTACTCATGTAGATTTTCGTCCAAAAATGTGCAGTTAATTCGTGGCTCTGAATTTTTAATAATAAAGCGTTAATTAAGATACCTCGTGTCGCCTGTGATTAATACGAATGACGGCCGATAATATCAGTGATTAAAAACATGTCAAAGCGGAGTCTGCACGAGCGGACGTTTAAAAAGCTTTTTAATTGCCACATTAATAATTATGTCCTTACACTGATTTGGTACATTTTGCGATAGAAGGCAGCGTGGAGCCGACTGAAATAACTCACGCAAGTGACAAGATAAATCAATACATACACTGCGGAAGTTAAAAAATATTCCTTTTATTACCAGTTTACAAAAAAATAGATTGCTTTAAGGTCTTCTCATTTTGGTTGATTCTCAGATTGGTTGGCTCAATTGATTGAAAAGATTAACCTCCGAATATAATTACGTAAATTAAACTACACAATCATCTATAATAAAGATTGATTCGTCACATATTTTTCTATCTTTACATTTGTTTATTTCATCTATTTGTACTCCGTTACGTAGTCGTATCGTACGATCTAAATGCATGATTGTTTTAAATTACGGCACGCGCTCACCTGCACGCGTCATTGTCTGTCAGCGACATCTAGCGCTGTTAGGCGCGCATTATTTATTTGGCACTCGTCTGAAGAGCGCGTCACAACTACAACTCATTATATTCCCACGTCTAGTTCAATTAGTTTTAAACTAAACTTGGATTGTATTTAACTCTTCTTTTTCATACTGATACATCAGATTTATTTTATACTATATTTCTATTATAGAACTTGACGCGTATCGTGTCAGAAATTATAGCCCATTCCTAGGAGCAATAATATTTAAGACTAAATTGTGATTAGATTTAGAATAAACAACAAACATATCACAATATAATCGTAAACATACGCGATTCAACAACGATAAGATTCCGAAGTTTAAACATGTAACGTTATGACATCTTTAAGGCTCATTTGTAATCCGGCACTAAGCCACAAATCGGTCGCTTTATGAGAGAAATAAGAAATTAAATCGTTCCCATCGAGCCAAAGTCGAAGGATCGTAAGCTAAGTTCTCTCGCTTGAGAAATTGCAATAACGGATTAGCGAAATAAAAGGCAATGCACA